ATCAAACACCTGTAACAAGCCAGGAAAACATCTGTTTTTCTCAGATACACAAGTTTTCGCTAAGGAATCTCTTATGCGATCAACACTTCCAAATGGCATCTATAAGCCCATTCCCGACAAGGTTCTGTCACATTTCCAGATGGCATCTATAAGCCCATTTCCGTATCCACCATCTCTCCAAATGGCATCTATAAGCCCATTCCCGACATCACATTGCTGATACTCCAACATGCGAGTGCAAATTTCCGGGCACTCTAGTGTTCAATCTCCTTTTACCCTCGAGTCACGAAAGGCAAACTTGCCAATCTAACTCTTCAGGTTCAAGAAGATTGAACAGGGGCAACTGTTGTACCCCAAAATTTGCCCTCCCATTTCCTCAACATATTCTCATCACAAGACCCTTGAAGATCAAGAGCCAGTTAAAGGTTTCCTCTGCTCAAGACTTCTCCTTGCACTGTTGACCCAAATTAGGGTTTGTGATTGCACAAAGATATTTTGACCTAAAATGCCTAAGATGACTTTCATGCTTCATGTTGGACTCCCAAGTTTATCCATACCAAGTTTCAAGTCTTGATTCCAAATTTTGCCCAGTCAATTGGACAGTTGGCCTAGAAATCTACTGTATTGGGGAAAAGTCAACTGTGGCCAATTGACAGTCAAATCTCATGAAAATTGACCCACATCAACATTATGAACTCACATGGACCATTTGATCAAGTTTGGATCACGATTCCACAAGAAATTTGATCAGATCATCAAAAGGGCAAAATGGTCATTTTTAGGGTTTTGACTATACAAAGGAAATTTTTGACTGTTTGACCTAGCCAATGGCAAACCAAGCTCACATATGGACTCAAGGACCCCATGGAATTATCTTGACATGCTCAACAAGTTCAAAAGATCCCAAATACACAAGATTGATAGTTGAATTTCCCAGTCAATTGATCAATTTTGACTGTATACTGAAAAGTCAAACTTTGACTTTTTGGTCAAAATCAAGGGTCAAGATTCATTTTTCATCAAAACATGCCAAATCATGAAACTTGTTCACCAAGAAATCAAGAAATGCAAATTAGGGTTTGAAATAGGAAATTTTTCATAACTTAGAATTTTTCTAAGTTATGGAAAACCCTAATTTTTTCCCAACTTTTCCCCACTTTCTCACCAAGATTCATTTGGATTCAAACAAAAGTCAAAACATGAAAGTTGTAGCTTGTTGCATAATCTACAACTTTTATTCACAAAGTTGTCCCAAAAGAAGCTTGTATCTCAAGTTACAATTTTTGGAACAAGGGTGCCAAACCATTCTTAACTTAGTAAAATTTGACCTATTTTGGACAAGTATTTTACCTAACTTCAAGACCATTTTTCATACACTTCCACTTGGAATTTCAATTTGCATTTCAAAGATGGATTGTAGTACACATTCCAAGCTTTCCAAAATGTCCAAGAACTCATCAAACAACCTCACAACTTGAGAGAATCGAATTTTGCAAAATGGGAAAAAGTCACTTTTGTTCTTGGCCAAGACATGTTCATACATTGGTGCCATTTTGAATTCAGCATGCTTAAGCTACATTGCAGGCCTCTAATCCCATTCTCACTCAATAATTCAATGCAAAACCATTGTGCCAAGATGTTGTTCTATGCATTTGGACATTACATGGAGAATTAACCCTTAATTAGAAAAAACATTATTTCCATTTTGAAAAAGTAGAACTTTATGTCCATTTTGCAAATCCAAGTGGTACAGTCAAAATCTTCTTGGCACAAGTTATGAGACATATTGCACTGATCAATGCCAAGGTATGCAGCATAGTGTGAGGGCCCGTACAGGCTAGAAACATCAAGTGGCCATTGCTTGCTTCAAGTTCAAGTATGATAGCATAACATATACCAACTTCCATATCAGTGAACCAGGCCTGAGAAAAAGTTGTCAAGCACATTCCAAACATCAAACACAAGCTGAAGCACGAGCCTTTCACCTCCAATACCTTCACAAACTCAGAACCACCATCAAACTGCCAAAACAGAGTGACCTCTGCAGATTGAGTTCCAACTCTCATCCCTGCAATGCTTTCTTGCTAAAAACTCTTCACACACCTTCCCTACCATCAATGCAAGCTAACCAAAACCTAAAACACGACCTGTAATTCCTCTAACCAGTTCCACCATTTTCATTTTCTTGTTTTGCAGTTGAAGTTCTCTAGCACGATTCAAGAAGTTTCAAGACAAAGTAAAGCTTGGAATAGCATCCCTGGACCTCAAGGAAGCTATACCAATCATCACCTTGCACTGAAAGCTTCTCCATTGCCAGATACAACTTCAACTGAACAGGTAAGTTCATGAACTCGTATCTCTCTTATTAGGCATTGTTAGCTTTAGGTTTGTGAAGAAAACATGTCACAATCATAGCCCTGAACATGCCCATATGATTAGATTTCATTTATATTATGTGTGCTGCAAGAATTTTGAGTCTGAACATTGATGAAAAACTAGGTCAGAAATTGGGGGAGAAGAAATTCTCCCTCATCTTAGAGAGTTAAGTCAAGTTTTTTATATCCCTGGATTCGTCTTCTCATGCTCTACATTTTTCATGTTGGAAGTTTTGCTTAAAAGTCTAGGAATTGAGAGATAGGAAACGCGTGCTTGCTTGAACAATTTTGTTCTGAGGTTGAAGATGACTGGTTCTGGGCTGGGCCTGGAATACTTTTCTTATTTGCACCATACAATTGCTTCTGAACCCCCTGAGCCCATTTGGTTTATTTTTAATGTTTTTTTGACTTTTTCTTTTTTGGATTGACTTATTTATTTTTTCTCATGATATTAAAAATATAGAAAATATTTTTCTCACCATTTTTAAATTTATTAGGCATTTATTTGATTTTCTTTTAGTTTGTACATAAATAAATAAATACATATACTTTTATCTAAAATACTAAAATAGTGAAAATACATTTTTTATACATTTTTATTTTGTTTTACTTTCTGAAAATATTTTATAGAAAAAATACCTTTTTTTATTAAATATTAAATATTATTAATTTGTATATATAATACATATTTAATGAATAATACATATATATATATATATATATATATATATATATATATATATATATATATATATATATATATATATATATATATATATATATATATATATATATATATATATATATATATATATATATATATATATATATATATATATATATATATATATATATATATATATATATATATATATATATATATATATATATATATATATATATATATATATATATATATATATATATATATATATATATATATATATATATATATATATATATATATATATATATATATATATATATATATATATATATATATATATATATATATATATATATATATATATATATATATATATATATATATATATATATATATATATATATATATATATATGTTTCTATTTTATTAACATTTAACACTAAAAATACATTTTTTACAAATATACTTTATTTTTATTTTATTTTTGTATATAAATAATAAATATTGTATATATTGAATAAATAATACATTTTATTTAATAGAATTAGGGTTTGACCCTAAACATGAAAAACTCCAAAAAAATAATACTTTTCTTTTTGTTTATTTTGACACATAAAAATACCTTTTTTTCATACATACAAAAAACAATTTTTGCATCTTGCATATTTATTCTTATTTAATTTGTGCAATTAAAATACCTTGTAAATAATTCAATATTGATGTAATAGTTTAGGTTTAAATTCCTTGTCAAAAATCCTCATTTGAACATTTGTACCCCCCTTCCCATATATGGTTTTGTAATAGCTTAGTAAATTTATTTTCGCACTTTATTGCTTTCTAATTATACCATGTTAGAATTAGGGTTTGTATGCGAAAAAACAACGAAAAATAGTTTTGACCTAATTTCAAGATAAACAAGCATGAAAATGGACACACAAATCACACTTGCACCCCCTAGGGTATTCCACTTGTTGCCTTTCAAAATTGGGCCATATTGCATGTTAGGCCTCTTTGGGCAAAACAAACACAAATCAAATGATCATAGTCCCTCGATGACGCTTTCAAAATGTTGCCTAATCAAATGATCAAGTCCCTTAAAGAAAATTGCCCAAAGATACTTGGCACCATTGCAATTATGGTCTAAACGATGACCCGCGCCCGTCCCTTTCACATCCTAACATGAGATTGTCCACCAAATACAATGGTGGAACAAACTTGTTAAAAGGGTTAAAGCATAGCAATAATCTTTGAGAAATTTAGGAGTAGATAACCTCTTAGTTACTTGAATCAAACTTGCAAAAACAAAACACTTGCCTGTTTTCTAAAACACACCTCACAACACTTTCAAAACAACTTTCAAAAACAAAATGAAAACCTTTCCAAAAGACATATATCTTTGTATACATCCCCACATGGATCATTACAAAGGTTGCCACCACATTGGCTTCTTTTCAAAACATTTTCAAACCCCCACACACACAAGCACCATTTCAAACAATTGAAACAAAAGGCAAGTGATCTAAGCAAGTAACTAAGAGCCCATGGATAACCATGGATAGAAAGGGTGCTAATACCTTCCCTTTCTATAATCTACTCCCCGAACCCAAGAAAACATCTCAAAAGGTTTTTGCTGTGCTTTTTAACCTTTCCTTAGGATAAAATAAAAAGTCGGTGGCGACTCTTGCTCAACCGAAACATTTGCGAAAACAAACGCCAAACTCATAGTCAGTTCTCCCACCGTATCACAACAGTCAGCATGCAATAGTTGTCACTGTTGTAACTAACTGAATTAACTAGGGGGAAAATGATCATATACAAGCGAGCCGTACACTCACATTTGGGAGGAGAGGAGTTTAGGGAGCTTTGTAATAGAAATATGCACTAACTCTGCATAATCGGAGCAATATTGAACTTGCATAAAATGGAAGAAATGAAAATATGGAGCCAACGGTTCTTTTTCACAGTTCTTTTTCATTTAACCAAACGGAATAAAAACCAAAGGCAGGGAGGTAGGAAGCAACTTCTACCTGGTCAATCATGGGCATTAGTCCAATAGCACGAGCAAGGAGGAAGGTACCAGGTAGCACAGGTTCCTGCTCAGAACATAATTTTTCGATTTTTGATTCAGTTAAAATTTTGATTAAAAGTGTAGACACATAATTCTGCTAAATATCACAGATAACAAGTTTTAAGTTTTGCTACCTGCATCAGAACCAGAACATCCATAGGATTACTGTCTTCACAAAGGGTTCGTGGGATGAAACCGTAGTTGTGTGGGTAGACAACTGATGAGTAAAGAACACGATCAACCTAGGGTATTTAGCTCATGTGTTAGCCATGCTTCAAATACAGATAAAAGACTCAACTATTGCATTTATTATCTATGCATAACCAAACAGAAAATTATTCAAATTAAATCCTTCAGCACAATAACATGCAATGATAATCTATCGTCAAATAATCAAGGATGCTACAGTTAAAAGCGTTCAATACTAACAACACACCTTTATAAGTCCACTTTTCTTGTCCAGCTCATACTTAACCTTACCGCCTTTGCCAATTTCAATCACCTGCCATGAAAATACATTTACTTCACTAACAAAACACGGATAGGAAACACGAGTTCAGCACAGCAAGTTATAAAACAGAAAACAAAAACTTACACAATTGAAAACTGCTGGAGCGCCCGGTCCTGCAATTATATTATAAAACCATTTGTGAGTTTTCACCAAAATGATCCTGCATCAATATCTATTTATCAATGTTAGATTTATCGAAACAACACAACAGTTTTGTACCTATCTCTACATCATGCCAAGGGTGAGCAGCAACAGTTCTCCTCGACATCGAAGAAAGTATTCGTTCATTGAGCTTAGGGTGAGACTTTGCCTCTTCATGGTTAGCCATATTAGCTTCACAAACAATAAAAATCACACGGATTTACTGCAGTTAAAACAATAATCAGAAGAATCCACTTAATTTATTTTCTTTGAATGATTGATTAATCTGCTAGTATGATGCATATCATTTAATTAGCGGTAGAATTACTAATATCAGAAACATAATTGAATTGGGCAATGATAATATAAAAAATAATGCGATTCCGTTCAAGTGTGGGTAACAAAGCAGAACTAAATCGAAAGAATCAAAGAGGAAAAAAACCAGAATCGGTTAAAATGGAAAAGCGATAACTTCAATGATGAAAAGCATGAGTGAAGAAATGACTTACAGAAAGGGAGTGAATGAGAGTTTGGCGAATTGGGGGAGAAAAACAAAGACGGGTAAAAAAGTGTTTAAGTTAGCGGCGAAAGGTTGAATATGAGTCGTGTGATTTTAGTATCGGACGGTTGTGAATGGAGATGGGAGGGATTTGTAGGTATACCAAATACTCGGATATATCGGACAAATGGAGAAGAATGGAGAAGAAGATGAACAGCCATATGGGTTTAATTTTGTGTTTCTGGAAATCTGATTTAGGGGTTAGGGGTTTAGAAATAAATTAACAAACCAAAGGCAGCGCTTTCAAGAAGCGCTGCTAAAGGTACCCCCTTTAGCAGCGCTTTAGGCTTACCCCACCTTTAGCAGCGCTTTTAGATTTACACAAAGGCAGCGCTTTCAAGAAGCGCTGCTAAAGGTACCCCCCTTTAGCAGCGCTTTAGGTTTACCCCCCTTTAGCAGCGCTTTTAGACTTACACCTTTAGCAGCGCTTTTTGAAAGCGCTGTCTAAAGCATACCCTTTAGCAGCGCTTTTATTAATTTTTTAATTTTTAATTTTTTTAAAACCCTATAGCAGCGCTTAGGGAGAAAAAGCTGCCTTTGATAAGGCCTATAGCAGCGCTTTTAATAAGCGCTGTCTAAAGTTTTTTTTTTTTTTGGATACCTACAACAGCGCTTTTGCATAAGCGCTGTCTATGTAGCGGTGCCAAAACTCGTTTTTGGCGTAGTGATCGCCAAAAGCAACCCTTGAAATTAAAATGTGGAAAATAAATAAAGCGATAAAATAATTAAAGTCCTATTAAACTATTATATTCCGGGAAATAGATACAATATTGAAATCAAATGGATCGCGTGCGAGAAATTAAATCGGGCACATGTTTTAGGGTTTTGACCCTTTTTTGAAAGAAAGTGATTTTTTTGGTTATTTTTGGATTAAAAGAAATTAAATTAAGTTAACAATTAAATTAATAAACTAATTAATTAATTAAAATATTTTTTTTGGATTTTTGATATTTAAAGAAATAAAATAAATTAATCAAAGTTATTAAAACCTAATTGTCTAAATTAATTTAAATTATTGCAAAAGATATTAAAGTTATTTCCTAATTAAGCTAAATTAATTAAATTAATATTTATTTACAAAAATAAAGTGCTGAATTTAATTTTAATAAATAAAATATATTTTTTGGTTTTTGATTTTATGAGGAAAAAGTTTAATTGGTTAGTCAAAAATAATAATGAAAATAATTAAATAAAGAAATAATAAAAAGAAAATAGAGAAAAGAGTGTTTGGGCCTGATTTTTAGAGGTTTGGATAGCAATTTCCAAGGCCCGATTGACTTGGCCTGGCTGACTTTTCCTGCTTCCACGTGTGCACGTTGACTAGAGCATATGGTGGACATCACCTCTGGACCACCAGATCTGGCCTGGGGCCATCTGGCAAGCATCTGAATGAGGGACCATGGTATGCTACGCCTTTGATATTGCATGGAATCACTTGGCTGAAAAATGCAACAAATAATATGGGGACCTGGGATTCGAACCCAGGTCCTGTTAGTCACCAAGCACACGCCCTTGCCACTCAACCAACGTCTTTTAATTGTTAGTGTAATAGACAAAGAATATTATATGTGAAAAAAAATAATATGCCAGCAATACAAAAAACACGCGCAATGTTTTAAACCGGCCAACCATGGGAAGACGCGTCATCGTCTTCCTCGTTCATCCCTGTAATATTTCATGCAGATTCATATCCACAGCTGAATCCCTAGGTCGACCCTAAAAACCATTCTAGGCCACAAAAATCATTTCCAAACACATGGTTGTGCTCGTCTTCTTCCACTGATCACATTTATACCCATCAATGGCACTGATTTTACCTGGAAAAGAAACGCCCAAAAATACAAACCAAGAACCCTAGATTCGGCTAGGGGGTTACAGGCTATATAAATGCAATCAAATAATGCAGAAAGTTTAGAAATTGCACAAGGATCATGAATATGTCAACAATTTGCCAAGAAAATGCAAGAATGTGAGGATACGATTTTGACTACAGGGTGGTAAAACACGAAGCTTATAGTGCGATGGAGAGAGTATGAGAGCTTGTTAGGGATTGGTTTTGCCTCAAGGATGGTCCAGCAATGGAATAGCGTTGAGATTTGGTGTTGAAACTGCCTCTAGGAGTGATTTCAGTTTCAAGCTTTTTGACAATTTTCTCAAGTTTGCTTCTTGTAATTTTGCAGCCTCTAACCCCTAATTCGTGTACCTTTGCCTTGTATATGTATGCTGCATTGGATTAGGTCAAGTTTTGGGTCTTGAATCTTTGTAAATTAATGCTTGGAGATATGATTTGATTCACCATTGATAACCTTCCAATTTGGTCCAAAATCCAATATTTTTGTACATGAAAAGCTTGATACGGATTTTATCATGATCATGATGATAATTAAGACCTATAACAACCAAAAAGATCCTAAGTCATCAATATTTGGATTTTATTTGATTTAAATTGATTTAAAATTAATTAATGCAATAAAAAATCAAATAAAATAAAAAAATTAATAAATGGACACAAGGCTGAAGCTAGGACACGTGTGTAGTGTGAAAAGATCAAATCAAGTGAAAAAGAATGGGCCCATTTGACAAAATTTGAAGTTTTGGGGATAGTTGACTTTTGGCAATTTTGCAAAAATGCCCAACTTCAACAATGCATAACTTCAATTTTGAACTTTTGGAAGTGTTCTTGGACTTTTTGGAAATCTTGATATGTCCTATAACCAACCCTTTTGGTCTCATCTCATTTTGATATTCCATGCTCAAGTTATAAACTTTGGCAAAAAAGGTGTTTTTGTTGACTTTCAAAAATGACCTATAATGTCCAAATTTGTAACTTTTTGTGGGTGCATTTATTTATCTTTGGGTATGAATATGGATTGTAGGAAATTGCATCCTCTTCAAAATGAGCTTTGTATGGGTCATTTCTCATAAAGTATGAGAAAGTTATGCTTGGTCAAAGTTGAGTTGACTTTTCCTACAAAACCCTAATTTAGCAACTTTTGAGTCTTGATGAATTTTGAGCAATCCTTGATGAATCATGATCAACCCTTGATCAAATGATGAAATATCCTTCAAAATGAGAATGTTGACAAAAAATCTTGAAGTTTGACTGTATTTGGGTCATAGTTGACTTTTGCCCTAGCACAGTCGATTTTTGGACCCTTTGAGCAATTGACTGACCAAACTTCCTCTGCAAGGCTTGAAATTTGATATGGATGATCTTGAGAATATATTAGGACATTTGGGAGAACTTGAGGTCATTTGGATGCAAGGACCTTGATGCAACACAAAACCCTAATTCGAGGTTGACTGCCTTAGGAGATGATTTGACTGTCCAGCTCTTGAGCAATCTTGAGCCATTTGGAGATTATTCTTGCAATGTCTTGGGAAATATGAGAGGGTAAATTTTTGGGTGCAACTGCTGCCCCTGTTAAATTTTCTTAAACCTGAGGATATAGATTGGCTTTCGGGCCTTTCGTGATCCGAAGGTGGAAGATGATTGAACACTAGAGTCCCCAGAAATTTGCACTCGCATGAAGTGGTATCAACAATGTGATGTCAGGAATGGGATTACAGATGCCATTTGGAGACTGTTGATAGGTGGTCTGAACTTCGACTAGAATACGAATCAGGGAGATCTTATCGGCGATCTAACTGAACCAGAGGAGGTCTTGGATTAACTTTGACTAGATCGGCATCAGAAAAATCTTTAGGAATCGATTTAACTGGACCAGACAAGGTCTTGGAATAACTTCAACTGGAATACGAATCAGGGAGATCTTATCGGCGATCTAAATGAACCAGAGGAGGTCTTGGATTAACTTTGACTGGATCGACATTAGAAAAATCTTTAGGAATCGATTTAACTGGACCAGACAAGGTCTTGGAATAACTTTGACTGGATCGACATCAGAAAAATCTTTAGGAATCGATTTAACTGGACCAGACAAGGCCTTGGAATAACTTCAACTGGAATACGAATCAGGGAGATCTTATCGGCGATCTGACTGAACCCGAGGAGGTCTTGGATTAACTTTGACTGGATCGGCATCAGAAAAATCTTTAGGAATCGATTTAACTGGACCAGACAAGGTCTTGGAATAACTTTGACTGGATCGGCATCAGAAAAATCTTTAGGAATCGATTTTAACTGGACCAGACAAGGCCTTGGAATAACTTCAACTGGAATATGAATCAGGGAGATCTTATCGGCGATCTGACTGAACCAGAGGAGGTCTTGGATTAACTTTGACTGGATCGGCATCAGAAAAATCTTTAGGAATCGATTTAACTGGAAGACAAGGTCTTGGAATAACTTTGACTGGATCGGCATCAGAAAAATATTTAGGAATCGATTTTAACTGGACCAGACAAGGCCTTGGAATAACTTCAACTAGAATACGAATCAGGGAGATCTTATCAGCGATCTAACTGAACCAGAGGAGGTCTTGGATTAACTTTGACTGGATCGGCATCAGAAAAATCTTTAGGAATCGATTTAACTGGACCAGACAAGGTCTTGGAATAACTTTGACTGGATCGGCATCAAAAAAATCTTTAGGAATCGATTTTAACTGGACCAGACAAGGCCTTGGAATAACTTGAACTGGAATACAAATCAGGGAGATCTTATC